TCAAATCTGCGTTTTACAGCCGTTAGATAATTGAATTGATTGATATACAGTATATCTGGTTTTCTGCTTGCTCGACAACCCACATGCCACGTAATTCGGAAACCAACATGACGATAATACCCCACCACACACACTCTTTCTCTCTCTCTTATCAGCCGCCCACAGTCAAATCCCTCGTTGACTGTGCCCCACCCTTTTATTCTCTCTCCTCCTTTCTCTATATAACCAACCTCACCTCCTCCTCTCTCCCATGCGTCCCCACCTTGTTACTTCTCTCTCAACACAGAAACCAAAACACTTATACTAACCTGAGAAACATTTAACGAAATGGCGCCCAGAGATAAGACGGCGGTTAACGGTAAACCTTACGGAACCAACAATAACAGCGGGAACGTTAAAGAGGTGCATTTTAGGGGAGTGAGAAAGAGGCCCTGGGGCCGATACGCCGCCGAGATTAGAGATCCCGGCAAGAAGAGCCGTGTTTGGCTTGGTACTTTTGACACCGCGGAAGAAGCTGCCCGAGCTTACGATGCCGCCGCCCGAGAATTCCGCGGCGCTAAAGCTAAAACTAACTTTCCCTTGCCTTGTGAGAATGTAACAAAGAAAATTTGTAATAATCAGAGTCCGAGTCAGAGTAGTACAGTGGAGTCATCGAGCCGGGAGCCGGCTCTGATGGTTGATTCTTCGCCTTTGGATCTAAATATCGGTGGTGGAAGGGGTGGTGGTAGTGGTGGATTTAACGCCGCCGTTAGATTTCCGTTTCAGCCCGTGGCTGGTGTTTTCGGTCCTGCGAATCAGGTGTTCTATTTTGATGCTATTGCTGCTATGAAGAATCAGCAGTATCAGCGGCTCAGATTCGATCATCATCAGAATTATGGTTTCCATGCTGCCGCGGCGGGGAACGGAAGTGTCCAAAGTGACTCTGATTCATCATCCATCGTTGATTTAAACCATCACGATGTTAAGCCAAGGAGAATTCTCGGTTTCGATCTTAATTTTCCTCCAGAAGAAATCGCCTGACTTTTTTTTTCCCCAGATAATGGCGTGTTTATCGGAGATCATAAAAACAATTTCTTTTATGTTCATTTTTTCATGGAAACTTTATTTTTTATTTCCCGTTTGAAGAAAAAAGAAAAGTAGGCTAGAAAAAAAAAAAAAAAATGACGGTCAGCTTTTCAGGTGATCTGTTGTGATTTTGATCACGGATGTGAATACGTAGCTGATCTCCACCTTTTTTGCAACAGAGAAGCCATCGAGTCTCTTCACTGTTGTTGGTAACTAGTTACTCTGTACTCGGTTCTTTTTTTAAAGAAAAGAAAAGAAAAATCAAATGAATTAAATTAACACATATATATTCCTGTATTATTTATTTATGGCTAAACGATGGTGTTTCGCCGGAATATTGGAAATAGATATTCCGGCCGTGCGGTAGTTGTGCGATATGTGTCAGTACGGATACTTTTGAATGTGAATTTTTTCAAATAATCATACTTGCTGCCACGTGGGTGTAGTATTATTCTATTTATGTTCAGTAAAAAGTGGACACGTGTCACAGCATGTAGATTGGTTTTTGTTTTTGTTTAATTTTGTACGTTGGATTTTGCAAGAGCATCATTTCATTTACAAGAAATCTAATAGGGCATGCCCTGCCACCTACTTTATAGGTGTGTTTTTTTATTTTAATACCAATAGATTAACAATAGGGGGATTTCTGTTATTTCTCTAAGTACAAAGAAATATCGTTACTTAATGATACCTCGGGGGAATTATTGTTATCAACGCTTCTCTTTTCCCTACTAGTAATTTAACAAAACCTTTGATGGTGATGCCCGTTGGGCCAATTAAACGGTAATATCATAATGATGGAAGATTTAACCCTAGGAGTTGGATTGAGAAGACAATAATTTAGTTATTAGCAGAGAATCGGCCAGAGTCCATATGATTAGATATTTCAGAGTGGACTTTGATTACCTTATCTAAAAGTTAAATTAAAAATAAATTTGTTTTAAGGGTTTGAGGACGGCATTTAAGGTGCCTGCAACGAAAGTCAGCTGTATTGAAAAGATTTAAAACCAACGTTTACTCTATGTTGGGTCAAGGCTTCTAATTTCTAAATAATCTAACGTAGTTTATGTTTAAGCCTCAACAAGTAGTATAGAATTGAAGATTGTAGAAACAGTCAAAAGCTTATTGTTTTCAAAGGAAATCATACCTAACAAGCCAACGTTTTTCAACTTCAGCCAATTTCCCATTGTAGCTTCCACGAAAGAGCCAAGGTCACTGTGGCTAATCAAGTTTCAACACACTAGAAGCCAAACTGATTGAACAAACATCAGTTGGACTTGGACAAGTTCTTGTTTGAAGCTTAAGCCGGTTCTTAATTCTGTGGTAGGCAAGTTAGATTTTATGATATCAATCTCATACACAGTGTTGATGATGAGCGGCTAGGTTCAGTGAATTAAGTTGATAATTTTTACTTTTTTTTTTTTTTTTTTTTGGGTTAGGTGTTTGTATCAAATATAATCTCGCCAACTTTCTGGATGTTCTATATCTATATATAGTTTACGTGTATTATAAGGCTCATGATCAGTAGTACAGTGCAAAAGTAAAGCTTATATAATACTTTAATTCAATAATGTTTTCAAATGAATTCATTCAAATGAAAGTCCAGCTCAGTCTATATTGGAATTTTGCGACTAAAGTGGAGGCGATCTCACTAAAAATTAGACCTACCCAGCGATCAAATAAAATATAATATCATATAAGCTAAAAGAAACAGTCATTTCAAATTTTCAAAATTGATACGAAGAAAGAATGGAGCTACATATAGATTTTATATGCAACGTAGAACCAGTAAAACCATTTGTGACAAGAAGGTGCAAGGAAAACGGCCCTACTCTTGCCCAAACATATGCCAAACGAATGAGCAAAGTCAAAAGCTTGCGTAGAGTCTAATCCTTTCAATGTACTGTAATGAGTTATCATGTGAAAACTCAATATGAACACAAGAAATTAGCCTCTAAATATCTTAAGAATTTCTTTATACTATTATTTTCCCACATGAAAATGCCCTAAACATTCAAGTTTAACATACATGATCAACATAAGTAAAAGATTGAACAAGTCTAGGGTTTGAATGTTTGCATATACATATATTTACTTTGTCACCAAGGAATGTCAACATGAAGTTCAAACAACTTTTAACAGTCTGACTCAATTGATAGTCAACACGCCAAATTAATTCCCAGAAGAAAATCAAGCATCTTCACCCATTGACTCCTGGACGGTGCGAGAGCGGGAGGATGATGAGTTTGATCATGTACCCCCCATTCACACTCCTGGTCCTGAAAATTCTGGTAGTGTTGTGCCAGTGCCACCCCATTGAAAAATAATAATGTAAACGACAATGAAAGGCACATGAAATTGCCGAACAAGCTGCTGCAATGGTGGCTACACCATGCTGATTCATCAAAGATTTTTCAAACTTAAATTAAAAAAAAAAAAAAAGGTACAGCCACCAGTTGGGGACACCTGTTGGTCAACGTGTTTCATGTTGCGAAGAGAAAGCTAATTTATATAATTTTGTTTCATGAGAATATTCTGATATACGATATTTCCGTTGGTTATTTGCCACGTAGCTTCCTTCATGCACACAGCCTTAAGTACATGCGGTGGTGGACCAGGACCACCCACCTTCCCTCTGGCAGCCAAAATATTCTGAATGATTTATTTATATATTGCAAAGTGAAAGCTGGAGAGATGTTATGATATGGACACTGTACTGTGCAGCAGCCAAATCTACGGTGGTTGTTCTAGGAAACACAACAATGCTTTTTCTTTATTATTTGTGGGATTCTGTATCTCTATACATGTCGATAAGATATTGCCATTATGGAATGATTCTCTGTATCTTATCTTCTCAACACCCACCAAACAATTATATATACTTAATACTAATTCTGCTGACTCCGTCTACGAAATCGAAGATTGAAAATGGGGCACCTGAATGTATAATAATACTTGCCTTTACGGCTGGACTTTTACAGTCAATTAACACAGGGCTTTCCCACTAAGTAAGGATTATCTTGTCATAGTTATTATCAACATTCTCATTTTGTCTTAAACATGAAAAACGGAAATCATCGAAACGTATAAAATAAAATAGGTAATTACTTTAATTATCATTTATTTGTTTGAAATTCGTGTTTTAAAATAATTAATCAGAACATTTAACGAAAAAATAGGATAGAGTAAATTTGCGGCGCGTGTAAGTCAAGGAATATAGGTAGGAGTGGAAGTAAGAGTTGTCGGGTGAGATTGATACTGGCGTCAGAAACTACTCATGTGGATAGTAGAAGGTTTTTCTACGCTTTTGCCTTGAACACGCGTAAGGAACAAATGAAAATGGGGCACCTTGTGATCGGTAAATGAGCAACACCTGTTGGTCCAAGCGAGCGGTTCAAAGGGATAAAGGCATGGGCTTAATAAAAGCCTGAAAAAAGATGAAAGAGAAAGAAAGGCAAAACAACAAGCAGCCTCCTCTCTCCTCAAATCCAAATATCTAACCAACTAATCCAAGTCACGCGGCGAGATAGCAGACTATGCCGACAACTTTTCAAACCGCCTAATTTTCCACCACTTTCTCTCCAAACCCACGCACCCTTTTTTTTTTTTTTTTTTTAATAATTTTAAATCATTAATTAAAAATATTAACTAATTGCGTAAATGAACGCGCGCTGGAAGGGAAGTGGGAAGTGGGAAATCAAATCTGCGTTTTACAGCCGTTAGATAATTGAATTGATTGATATACAGTATATCTGGTTTTCTGCTTGCTCGACAACCCACATGCCACGTAATTCGGAAACCAACATGACGATAATACCCCACCACACACACTCTTTCTCTCTCTCTTATCAGCCGCCCACAGTCAAATCCCTCGTTGACTGTGCCCCACCCTTTTATTCTCTCTCCTCCTTTCTCTATATAACCAACCTCACCTCCTCCTCTCTCCCATGCGTCCCCACCTTGTTACTTCTCTCTCAACACAGAAACCAAAACACTTATACTAACCTGAGAAACATTTAACGAAATGGCGCCCAGAGATAAGACGGCGGTTAACGGTAAACCTTACGGAACCAACAATAACAGCGGGAACGTTAAAGAGGTGCATTTTAGGGGAGTGAGAAAGAGGCCCTGGGGCCGATACGCCGCCGAGATTAGAGATCCCGGCAAGAAGAGCCGTGTTTGGCTTGGTACTTTTGACACCGCGGAAGAAGCTGCCCGAGCTTACGATGCCGCCGCCCGAGAATTCCGCGGCGCTAAAGCTAAAACTAACTTTCCCTTGCCTTGTGAGAATGTAACAAAGAAAATTTGTAATAATCAGAGTCCGAGTCAGAGTAGTACAGTGGAGTCATCGAGCCGGGAGCCGGCTCTGATGGTTGATTCTTCGCCTTTGGATCTAAATATCGGTGGTGGAAGGGGTGGTGGTAGTGGTGGATTTAACGCCGCCGTTAGATTTCCGTTTCAGCCCGTGGCTGGTGTTTTCGGTCCTGCGAATCAGGTGTTCTATTTTGATGCTATTGCTGCTATGAAGAATCAGCAGTATCAGCGGCTCAGATTCGATCATCATCAGAATTATGGTTTCCATGCTGCCGCGGCGGGGAACGGAAGTGTCCAAAGTGACTCTGATTCATCATCCATCGTTGATTTAAACCATCACGATGTTAAGCCAAGGAGAATTCTCGGTTTCGATCTTAATTTTCCTCCAGAAGAAATCGCCTGACTTTTTTTTTCCCCAGATAATGGCGTGTTTATCGGAGATCATAAAAACAATTTCTTTTATGTTCATTTTTTCATGGAAACTTTATTTTTTATTTCCCGTTTGAAGAAAAAAGAAAAGTAGGCTAGAAAAAAAAAAAAAAAATGACGGTCAGCTTTTCAGGTGATCTGTTGTGATTTTGATCACGGATGTGAATACGTAGCTGATCTCCACCTTTTTTGCAACAGAGAAGCCATCGAGTCTCTTCACTGTTGTTGGTAACTAGTTACTCTGTACTCGGTTCTTTTTTTAAAGAAAAGAAAAGAAAAATCAAATGAATTAAATTAACACATATATATTCCTGTATTATTTATTTATGGCTAAACGATGGTGTTTCGCCGGAATATTGGAAATAGATATTCCGGCCGTGCGGTAGTTGTGCGATATGTGTCAGTACGGATACTTTTGAATGTGAATTTTTTCAAATAATCATACTTGCTGCCACGTGGGTGTAGTATTATTCTATTTATGTTCAGTAAAAAGTGGACACGTGTCACAGCATGTAGATTGGTTTTTGTTTTTGTTTAATTTTGTACGTTGGATTTTGCAAGAGCATCATTTCATTTACAAGAAATCTAATAGGGCATGCCCTGCCACCTACTTTATAGGTGTGTTTTGAATTCGATGAATAAATCAATTTACCATTAAGTTTTCTAATTTTGTTTTCATTATAGAACAGTGTTCGGACGTTTTGGGGGTTGCTTCATTAAATGTTGGCTTTATATCGGTTGGTCTTAGAATTGGTAACAGTGGAAATGTTAATTTAAAGGACTGTTGACAAAATTTGTATCATCTTTAAGCTAAGCATTAATTAGGAGAAATGTCTATTAATTGGAGTTAATCAAATCTACAACCACCAGATATTATTATAATTATATATAGAACCATAGTATATCTGGTACCAAAAAGAGTGTTGGCCGACCGCCGACCTTACCTTTTGATTCTTGCTTTATGCATAAGTTAATTAATATGAGTATTATATTAATTAACAATAAAACTGCACATTTGTTTTTTAAGGCTTTGACGTGGAATTGATCTTCAGCATTAATTTAGTAACAGCTTGCATGATTACAGCTATTAAGTATACTTTAACAAACGCATCACAACATTGTCATCTGCCTTGACCAAGTCTTTTATGTTTTTTTTTAAACAAAATAAAATCCCTTCAATTCGGTAACTTTGGCAACATTCATGACCGTATTATTATTTTACAAAGGGAAAAAGACAATTCTTTTTTCAGTAACATAATTAATAAGCTAGCTGTAATCATGCTTTACCAGCAAAAAATGAACCTTTCATCCTCATATTATATATATATATAATATGCCGGGTGATGTGGAAGCGCAATAAAAAGCGCGTGAGCAGAAAAAAGAGAGGTTTCTAGGTAGGAGACCAAGAGGTAATTTTCCGCGTTTACTGGGTATATAGAGATTCGTGTCAATGGTGCACGTGTAATACGGCCCATGAGTTTTAGCGCGTGTGTGATGTGATTCAAACAAGTTCATGTTTTGACGCGAAAAAAGATGGGGAAAGCAGACAAAACTGGGGACCACGTGTACGCGGGCGCTTGAAGTGGAAGTGGGGAAGCGCGGCTGCCGCTTTTGGTGGGTCCCGGTCTTTGCTCGTCAATATCTATACAAGGATTTCGCTTTGCCTTTTTAAAATTTTTTTTTTCTTTTTAAAATTTAAATTCAATCCTAATCAAACTCTTATTTGATTTTTTTAATTAAATCGCGTATTATATGTAACACTTACACACGCAATATCGGCTCAACTTGTTTAGTTTATTAGATTTAAAATGTATTAAATTTACTCTTAATTCAAATGTTTTTTAAATTTAATAAAATTTTAAATATATGAAAACACTAGATGTATTTCTATTTATAAAAACTATATAATGAAGTGATTATGCTTAATCATTGTTGTTTGTTACTGGTGGATATGTGACATGGGATGGCATGTTTTTTATTAAGATGACATGCGACATGTGACATGCGACATGCATGCATTAATAATATAATAAGTAAAACACAAAGAATACGGCGCGGAGAAGCCGTGAGCAAAGGTGACGTGTCGGATTAAGACAGACAGATACGCCGGCGGTTTGCGTTAAAGCTTTCATAAGCAGGGGACCCACATTCCACCAGCACCATTCGATTTTAGATTTTAAGACAGACACAGAGACAGAGAGAGAGAGAGAGAGAGAGAGAGAAGGTGGTGATGCCTCGTGATACGCCACGTTTCGCGGTCGAGAGACTGAAAACAAACAACTAAAATAAAAATAAAAAAGTTTTTATTCCATGAAAAGCAACCGCGAAATAATTAATTTGAAAAAAGCGAGTAGGTGGTGGGGTGTGGGCGGCTACGCTACTGTTAGCTTTTTAAGTGGACTTTTGTTGCCTTTGAGGTGACAGCTCCTTGTTTTCTCTTAAAATACTTGGCGTAATTTAGCAGTGCAGTTTAGCTGCTACAGATTTCTAGAATGGTCGGCTGTACTGTATATCAAGCGGCAGCCTCTTCTTTTTAATCATTTCCAACGACGTCGTAGGCTCGTGGCTTTACTTTACTCAAATGGAAGATTTTTTCTTGAAAGGACTATTTTGGTAATTTTGTCCTTTGAATTAGTTTAGAACCATTATGATTTTTGAAATGTGAGGATAAGATTAATGTAAATAGTGCTCTAATTATGTCACACGTGTGAAGGAATCAAATGTTGATTTGCAGGGGGTTAACCTTTTTGTCCCTGAGGTCTGGAGAAATTTCAGAATAGTCCCCGTCAGTTTCAGACAACTGGATGAGCTTGACACTTACTCCTATGATCTATAAGATGATTGATTGACAGATCTTTTTATTAACTTTCTCTTATAGATATAGTTTGTAATATTTTTTCTCATAAATATAATATAATAATTTATAATTGGTTAGTTTATAATTGATTGGATAAAACTCATTAAAAGTTAATCAATTATAAGTATTGTATTGTTTTTGTGAGAAAAAATTAATAAAAAGAAAATATTACGGTTTCTCCTAACCTAGAGATGAAAATGGTATTAACTCTTATTGGCACCCACATGGCTTATATATTAATTAATAAATAATATTTTATTCATATTTCATTGATCAATGTATAAATGCAAGATTAATATTAATTAAATAATGAAAAATAGGTGCATTACATAGTTGGGGTGACGCATTGAGATTCCAAACTTAATTTCTCATCAATAAAACAAAGAGAACAAATTAGAAGTCAAGGATATAAATTGCACACATGGAACTCACTAATAAAGGAGACATGTCATTTCACATAAATAATACTGTATTATTTTTATAATTCTTCCATATCTGAAAAGCGGATTTGTATATATCCAACCCATAACGATCGACCATAATGGCCAGTTGAGTGAGAATATGACCAAATATGATAAGCTCACATTGCATATAAATATGTTACGGTTATATAATAATGTTTTATTTAATTAAAAGATTTGTTGGGTGTGGCACGTTATCAGAGTGAGAAGAATAATAATTAGCGTGACATAGATTAAAGTATGTAATATAAATGATTGATTGAATACCATCATATTCCACCAACTCTATAATGAATAATAAAAAGCTAAAGGGGTGTGGTCATGTAAATTAATTTTGGTCAAACTTCCTAATCATTTTCTTGATTTAAATTTGTCCCAATTTGGCATGTAATCATGTGATTAAAGCTTTTAATTTATTAGGGAAAATGAAATTGATTTGTAACTTCCTTCAATTAAAACCAGCATTTATTAGGGTTTGTTTTTGGAGTGATAAACGGATACGTTAAAATAATATAAATATATAAGTTATGATTTCATAATAAGGATCGTCTAACAAGGTGGAATGACTAATTAATCAGAAACAGAACTATCACATAACTAGTTTTTATTTTTTATTTTTTTTTATGATGAGATGCAATCTCAACTAATTTTACTCTATTAGGTATTAACATATTCAAATTTATAACATCTAAATAATACATCCAAGAATTTCTACAAATACTCACTGCCAAAAAAATAGTTATCAATTTAACTTAATTGCTTATGTAGTTTTGTTATGCAATTAAATAAAATTTAACTTGATTATTACATTTTATAATTTATTAGGGTTGTTTTGGGAGTGATAACTGATTCATTAAAATAATATAAGATACATGAGTCATGATTCCATAATTAAGGATCATCTAATAAGTGTGAATGTCTAAATTATAATTAATAACAGAAAATACTTATCAATTAACTTAACAATTAAATAAATTTTCTAAAAAATTTTAAGTTGATTATTACATTTTATAATTTGATGCTTTAATACTTTTTTTTTTTTTTTTTGTAATCGGGTATCCAAGCCAACTTGCATGCACATCTTAAAGTTTATTGAATATATTACAAACTCAAAGGATCTGGTAAATCATAATATCGTAAATAATTCAAAGATTTGAATGCATAAATTCAATAAAAGACTGCGAAACCAAGTTCTTAGAGTTGATGCTTTAATACTTACCAACTGTTGGGTATTGACCATTCATTTCTCCTATAAGAATTATATATATATTAAGAAATAACGTCATTGAATTTATTAAGAAATTTTGATAAAAATTGGTTTAGAGTATCTCTAAGGTACTTTTTATATGACCTAAACTATTTATTATAAAAAGTTTATTCATACAAATAAGAGTGAGTTTGACTCTTTACATATAGAGAGTTAAATTTCACTCTCTATTATAATTTTAATTAATAAATTACAGTTTCTATATATTTTATTTATTAATTTTTTCTTCTATTAAATCTCTTTCTTGAAAAAACATATTTTCTCTTATAAAATTAAAAGAGTCTATTGAATTTGAATAAAAATTTTATTTTTTATGTTTATAAATTAATAAAGATGTTCTTTAAAATAAAGAGTATTATTAGAGTTGCTCTTATAATCCAATCTTATAAATTTTCCCTCACAACTTTAATTTTATAGTTTAATTAGTTTGTAATTAAACAGATAAAACTCACCAGATTTATTTATAAACTGACGAATCGTGAGTTTACACGTCAGAGTTAAAGATAGGGTTATAAGCGTGGGAATTATTGAGCGCATTAAAAGAGAATGAGAAACACGAGGAAACCGGGCGTTGCCAGTTACCGGTAGTGGAAAGGGGAAGTGATGGAGGGGAGACAAATGTCTGCTAATGGTCATGTGAATTGAACATGAGTTGTTGTAAGTAATTGCGGTGAGGTAAATAGTAGTTGTCAATTGCGAGAAATTCATAATGAGTCTGAGAGATCATACTTAGTTGTTGTTGTTGTGGGCAATCCGATGGGGAGAGTTTTCCTGGTAGAGTTACAGAGCAGGTCTTTTTATAAATGCAGATTTTGCCATACTCATCTTGCTCCTTCTGATAATATTCTTTCCTGGGTACTCTCTTTTTTCTCTTCTATTTTATCTCTTTTTCTTGTTTTTGTTAGGAACCAAATTCAGTTCGTTTGATTTGGAAAAATTTATGAACAATTCGTTGTTTTAAAATTTATCAGTATTCACTACAAAGGGTAGAATCAGTTAAAGTATGTGAATTTGATTTTGTTGAATCGAGTGGTTTGAAGGTTTTGACCAAAAATTAACTGGGTTTATATAATTTAGTTGAAAATTTGTTGGTTTCAGAAGGCTAGGTTGAAATTTGTGGGTTGGTCATGAATGGATTTACTGAATTTGGTACTGTTAAACTTGCTTTGTATTGAGGGAAGTGATGGTATTGTCTGGTTTACGCAATTAACTGAATGCATTATTGTATGGGGAAATTGGTTTTTAGGTATCAATATTTGTTAGATTATATATAACAACTTATTCGTGGCTAAGTTGTTTGCCATTTCAAAGAAACTGCAGCACTGAGACTGTTTTATTATTTAGTGGATTGTTGGAAGATAGATCTTTCTTTTTGTCTTTAACAATATTGACAAGACGTAAGATTGGTGTCATTAGAGATGTTATGGTGAATTAAGGATAGGAAAGAGTCTTAACTTAAAGATTTGTTGAGAATTATAAGGGCAAACTTACTGAGAACCACAGAGATTAGGATTCCTGAAATTTGAATTATAGTCATCATTTGCGTATTAAACTATTAGGTAAGGTTCAATATTATAAATTTGTACAATAGGCTATCTCACAATAATAAGATTTGGTTTTAAGGTCTAGTAAATTCAGTGAAAGGCCGAGATCAGACTTGAGTTGGTCGAGATTCATTTGATTTAGAGACAGTTAACTCTTTTATAATGCTAAATAGCCATTTCACGAGCTTAAGCTATTAGGTAAAAACCTTAAATTAATATATAAGGCTAAAAATAAGTTTTTTTGAAAGTCTTTCGGTCAAGTGAAGAGAAATATGGGACCCCTTTCTTTTATTAACTATTAGATAAATTATTTTTAAGGATAAGCAAATGGAAGAGGACTGTGAACATAAAGTTGTAATAGGATGAATGAATGTGGATCTGCTTTTCTCTGTTGTTTAAAAAAAAAAATTCAACATAAAGGTCATTAAACATTACTGATCCCCACCAATTAGGGTTATCATTTTATACATAAAGTAGCTGCTTTCAAGACTTGACTTCATACTTTGCACTTGTTGCGATACTACCTTTTCAATTGCACAAAGCAATGACATCGAATCCTTTCCATGAAACTTTCAATAGATGACTGTATTACTAGCATTACTTAAGAGTAGACGAATGAGGATATTCAGATTGTTGAGTGGCATCTGACGACGTAACTGATGTGATATTTTTGTGGAATAACATGCGTCTAATGTTGTGCTTGCTTGAGTATAGCATTTATTTGAATAATTTTTCCTATAAAGGCTGATTTGTTTGATCATCCTCCACTTCTATGGAAATGAGAAGATATTTGTAAGCCCCTTCTAAGTAGTTTACCTGAAAATAAATTCAGCATTTCCTTAGGCTGTGAGCAAGTCCAAGAAGAAAAACAACTGGCTGTCACAATCCATACATGTCAGCATTTTCTCTAAACATAATTAATTGGGTTTGGTTTGAATCATACTTTATAGTTTTGAAAGTGAAGCTTGTAATGAGATTTTGGCACTTAATGATGGATTAAAGTTACAATTGGTCTTTCTCCAATTATCTGTTGATATGCACTCATAGAGAGACATGTAGTATCTCATTGATGAACTATTTAGCTGAAAGGGTAAAACTCATGAAACATAATCCTTAAAATGTTCTATGCCTTAATGTCTCATATGAATTGATCTTATGTTTTCTATTCTTGGGATTATTTTCTGCTATTTTGTTTGTAAATTATACAATAGTCTATTTAATATGCTGTGCCATTTACATTTTAACCTTACTTTGTTGCTCTGTAATATGACCAGTCTTTTAATTGTCGTCGAGGAAGGGCATACCTCTTCAGTGATGTGTAAGTTTTTCTTTTTATAATTTCTTCTTTAAGCTGCTCTTTTATCTTTTTATTTCTGGAGTAAAATGCTTATCTTTTTTTCATTTTATTTTTTCAAATTATTTGCGACTGTAAATAAATTTTTTCTCTTTGCAACGAGTCAGACTTCATGGAAAATTAAATTAACTGATTTCTTTCTTTTTAATTTACTTTAATCCAATCACCATTAAGTTGGGGAAATCGTTTAAACTATTTGGCTAGGAAGACAGCTTGGTTTTTAGAAAATGCTATAAGCCAGTTTCTGCGTGCTCTCTCCCAATACAATTTGAATCACAAAGCATTGCTTCTATATGGAAATTACTGAACACTTTATTCTGACTGCTAAATTTTATTTTCATAAATTATTTATTCAAGTATTATCTCCAAATTTCATGAGATTGACAATGTAAATGTAATCAAACTTCAACCTATAATGGAGTTATTCAGCATGTTGATCTCAATGATATTTGCTTCGGTTGATTCTACTTTTAGTTTTTAGTATGAAGTATGTCTTTTTTATTTTGGATATTACAGCATTCAACAAAATATTGAAGGTCTTGCAGTTCATAGATCGTATGGTTGAATGTTTCTATTTCTTGAATTGACTTGATTCATGGAATTTCCATTTAGGGTAAATATAACGCTTGGACCCCAAGAAGACAAGATGATGCTGTCTGGTATGCATACTGTGGAAGATATATTTTGCGTCTGCTGTGGACAAATTCTTGGTTGGAAATATGTTAGTTCTGCTGATCTTCTATTACCTGTTTTTCCTTGATAATAATAATAATTTAGAGGGGTTGGGCAGATGGTGTGTGCTTAAGAATGGAAATATGGCGCTTGCACAGAGAATCACTGAACGAAGAAATTTTTTCTGGAAATGTTACTTTTGTAAAACCTGTAATAGTTTGTTTTGTCAAAAATACTTTTCAAGAAAATCAAATTCAGTCTCCATGTTAACAATATAAGGGGAAAAAAAAAATAAAAAAAAAACTCTAAAAATGCATCCTATATTAACCATGATCATCTGCACAAGGGGCCTTTGCCAGCTTCACCTAGAGCATTTTGATTCGTTGCCATACACAAGTATATATTGTATATATATGTCTTTTTTCTTTTCGTAATGTTATTTGAATTCAGTCCGATATCTTCCAATCAATACATCAACTTATAGTAAACAGCAAAAATTTATGTGCTGTGTATGATATGTAGGTAGCTGCGCACGACAAAAACCAAAAATACAAAGAAGGGAAGTTTGTTCTGGAAAGGTACCGAATGTCTTTTGAATTTTATTTTCAATCTATGTCTTACTAAAATTTAACCCAATGATTGTGCAGTACTGCAATACTCATGCACTTTTCTAACAGATGGAGGATAGCAGAGGCGACGGAAGAACTTAATTTGGATGCTTGTGCTGGTTCAAGTGACGCAGACACTCCTTAGAAATGAACTTGCATGACTCTTCACAAATAAAAGTGAGACAAAAGGTTATAGATGATATACAATCCCATAGCTATAGACATTGCTTATGCAACATAAACCCCGTTTCATCACTGGAAGGCCTTCCAGGAATGTTTTAGGCGCATAGTCGTTATTTATACAGCCACCGGTCTGGAATGGAGAAGTAGTTTGAGATATTTAACTACAGGTTTCATTGACATTGTTACTATAATCTCTGGTTTTCAATCTCCATGCATTTTTTTTCACCATTTTGTGCTTAACTATTTAAGGTATATTTAGCAGGCTAATCATTTGGAAGGCCATATAGCTTCATCTTTGCCCAGTTAATTGTACCTAAACAAGGCAAAGGGCAAAGGGTCCCTCATGTTTTTATCGGGAAAATAATAATACCCCATTGTCCCATGACGGAAATAATGTGTCATGAAAAAATGTAGCTGCCGGACGCTTTACTTTGTCCATCAATAAGTGGATGGAAAAGGGAAAGATAAGTTAATTACCAAGGACCATTTTTCCCCTCATTCGTCTCTTTTCTCTTTTCACTTTCTCGTCAACCAAACACATGCACGGAAAAAGACTCCCCCTCCCCCCTTCTTTTTTTTTTTTCTTTCTCCTTGTGCCTTCTTTGAAGTTCATAGGTCAAATTTGAAACATATTTAGAACGTTTTTTTAATGATCAATTAGACTTAAGTATGTTTGACCCCCAGGAGTTAAGACGAATAAAATTCAAATGTTCCTTCCACCATTTACAAGAACTCCAATTAAACACGTGATTCTCATGTTCAATGTGGAAACGATAAATTCAGAATTTAGGTCCCCGTTGATAATACTAATACTAATCCTATAAGAGTAATGTTATATTTATATTATTTTTTATGCCATTTTATAAACATCATATGAATATAGTTATAATACATAAATTTATTATAATATTAAAAATTAAAAATAATTAAAAATTTATGTAATTATAATATATACCTATGATATAATAAAAATCGTATAAAGTGTGTATTAAGGCAGCATTACTCATCCTGTGATTGTAGCCGTGAAATGGCCCATGTGTTTCGTCACCGTGCATCATTAGTTTACCACAAAATTGTGTCCTGTATGGCTTCACATCCTTGAAGAAAAAAACCAAGTCAAATTTCAGCCGTCCTAATTATTAAAAAGAGCGACCTAACAATTTCTATATTTATTTTTGGGACCATATATTAAAATTCTTTGTTTAGGTCCCACCTTATCTTTTACCCCCAATCAAATAAATTAATATTTTCATTAATAATAATATTCAAAGGACAAAACGATAATCACGTTTACGAGTTAAACCACCTTGTATACTGGAGAGATGCAAGTGGTCCACAGAATAAGCGGGTGAGATTGAGGCACCGTCAAGCTCACACACGTGGCGATTGTTTGTTTATGAAGTGGACCTAGGCAGCCACTGAGACTGAGCCCATTGTTTTTCTAAACGAAAACGTCCTGTATTTCTCCCCTTTCTTATTACAATAATTTCTTGATTATGATTTTCTTAATAAAAACTAAAAGTTGGGATAGTGACAAGCAAGAAAAGAGGGTGAGTTTGTGAAAGGGCCCCATTTATGATGGGACTGGCTCTTGCATGTACCACAGCCAACTCCCACACGTCAAGCCTGGTCAAATCTTCAACATTTATCATGTCATGGGTGAGATGTATGGTGACAATCTGCATCCACCATATGATCATCATATTGAAATTTCACTTTTTTTTGTGACATGATGCTACGTACTATGATGTGACATGATAACACATCATAGTATTGTAACTTCTTAACGGCGTCGTTCCATTCCGTAGTACAACAAACGACGTCGCGCCGTCATCAAGAGTCACGGAGTTTTTTTTCTTTCTTTTTTTCCCTAGAGTACGACAAAAGATAATATAAAAACACGAGGAAGCATTAATTTATGTTTGAATTTGAGATGTGTTTGTGGTGTGCGTTGTGTGAATGTTTAGACCGTGAGCCTCTGCTGCCGACAGGTTCGCTCGTGGGGGGCCCGGCCATATTCCGTGTGCGTATGCCACGTACAATTACTGTGGGGACCATATTGGGGTTGAGGTAGTCAAATGGGTCGTTGTAAAGACTAAAGAGGTGAAAGACGGCCGGCTTTGGTGCAGTGCAGCAGTGCTGATGGTGACGCTGGTGCAGTTGCAGCAGTGTGTGATGATGATGATGATTGATGACGATTGAATTAGGTGAAGTAGTCCTGAGCAGAACTTGCGTGTTCTTCTACTTTTCCTTTTTTTATTTTTTTAATTTTTTTATTATTTTTTTTTTCTGACAATTATTTTTCACCTCGACTTTTCAAACTCTTACCTGTATGTATTTTATATAACACAATAAACTGCTAACCGAATCGTTCATAGGATTCTGAGTTATTAAGTAAGTTTCAAGTCTTCTCTTATTTGTTAAACAAGGTGGTTTATCCCGTTAATAATTTAAATCTCAAAAATTAATTGATGAACGATTAGTCCAAAACTTAGATAATTAAAAAAAACACGTGTATGGTGTACAACATTTAAACTTTGAGAAATATTAAATAGTGATAGTGATGATATATGTTTATCTAAAAGATGAGAAGAAAGGTCAAGTAGAGGAGGTGAATGATGGAAATTGTACAATGAGATGAATAGGCAGTGGCAAAATCGATAATTATTAGGTGTTGAATCATTTTGTTGTGGGTGGTAGTAAGGAAGATCGACTTTGTACAAAAACAGCCGCTTTCTTGGATATATAATTTTTTCATTATTAATGGAGCAATGAAATAAGGACAGTCATCCATGGGGGTTTAAATTGAAGTAAATTTGTGAGATATAAAAAGGAGGAGACAATAGAATATATTGATGAAGAATGTAATCCTATTCGTAGCCGTAGCCCACTACATATTCAATTATATTTTAGTCTTTGTCACTGACGTACATGCATATTCACCATTTTCTTTTCCATCTATACGTCAAACTCAAACTCTCACCTTCTTTGTATTCACCGAATCCTATGTCCCCCATAGTCTTCCATAATTTCCCTCATTTTGCCTAAAGAAGACATGGAAATGGAAGCATCAAGAGGAGATGACTTACTATATCCATACAGTGTCTATTTGTGAAATCAAAACCAAACACATCCATGTTACAATAATCTCATGACTTATTGTAGTCAACCAATTAATTAATTTTAAGTCATTTATGGGTGCCACCTAGTTTTTCTAATTATACTATTCTTTGTGGCAGGATAGTCAAAAGATGATAACTTAAACCGCCGGCCTTAAAGTGCGAAACAAAGATCACGTATTGTATTCTATTACAACTTTTTTTATATGATAAGATCAAAAAAATGAAGTCTTTAACTAAAATGGGGTAATAAATATTGAATTCGGTTTTTTTTTTTTTTTTTTATCATTCGGGTTGCTGGCCACTGCATCTCTGTAGAAAGTAAAAAAGTCAATAGTCAGTCGAGAGGGGGGCAGGGCCGCACCGCACAGCAGGGGCCAAAGTGAAAGAGAAAAAAGAGATTATGTCACAGTTACAAGTCCAACTACAAATCAATGGACCATCTTCCAGAAAATTAGAGTTAAAACACTGAGCGGGGCAACCCTTGCCGCCAATTCAAACACTAACTACGCGCCTCTCACCCATTCCTTCACACCTCTCATATTATCCATTTCCAGCTCTTTTTTTTTTTTATAACATAATGTAGCAATTGATAAAGTTTTTTCTGAAATAATAAAAAATTCTTTATCATTTTGATGTTATAATAATATGAAAATAATTTGATAATATTTAAGAATTTAAAATTTTAAAATTATTTAACATCTTATCAACGACAATTTTCTTTTTATTTTTATAATCTTGAGGAGAATTTTATTATTTACAATCTTTTGTTCTATTTTGCCTATATATAATAACTTTATAAAGTATAATTTAAAAAAAAAAACAAGGATAGATTTTGTTTGAAAAAGTTTTGTCCCTGTTTCAAAGAGAGGACAAGAAAAGGTAGTTTGGTAATTTAGTAAATAAAAGACGCGTTGAAAGCTAGAGTGGGTCTACACACAGCAGAATTTGTACACTGACAAATTTATCAGAACCAGATCTCGGACTATCAACCAAAAAGAATGCTAAACCACCCGCTTGCTTCGCGCTGTCCATAACAAAGACTAATTTTTTTTTTTTTTTAAACGATAGTACATACAGTCAACTGATCGGCGCTGCGGAACCAGCGCGTGAAAAGGGCTTTTGTACTTAAAAATCCAGAATGCTTGTTATTGTTTGGCAAATCATAATCCAAATATCAGGACAGAGGGTCAAAGGAATCAAAGCTGTCGGAAAAATATCAAGAAAAGATATAATCACCGGTCGATCACATTTCACCGGCAAAACCAGAATTATGAAAAATAGATATTAAAAACGAAAGTGTTTCATAGAAACAGAAAACAAAGGCATATATACATGAGTTCTCGGATTCCTACTAATTCTGATCATCTTTTTTTTTTTTCCCCTTTTTCTTGTTAATTCCTCTAATAATAATGAAAAGGAAAACAGAAAAAAATTTAATAAATAAAAAAGAGGTGACAGCTAGAAGTAGTAGCAGTAGTAGAAGCCGTCATTAATAAGGATAGAGTGAGATATAAAGTGAAGTGAAAAAGCGACGCCGTAAAATGCCTAAACAGGAAGCCTATAGCTCAATCTGTGACACAGCTCAAAGCCACAACGGTGGAGGCTCATTCAAATCAATAGGCAACCCACGTCTCACTATCCCTAAGAACGACGCCGTGGAGCCATTTTCAGGCAGGGGTGCGCCACCAGAAACGGCAGCTTCGTTTTTAACAGAGGCTGATGTCTGTCCATCAAAGTTCATTTCCTTAAGTACCCCAGTTTGTAAAAACTCACCAAAAGCGAAGCGTTGTTGATGATGATTGTGATGGTATGGAGTTGAAGCAGTGATCCACCGATGACGATGATGATGATTGTGACGATGATTGTTATTAATGTCAGATGGAAGGTTGAGATCGAGTGGGAGACCACCAGTGACGGGTGCGGGGAAGTTGGTCTTGGCTTTGGCTCCACGGAGAGACCTGGCAGCACCATCGTATGCGAGAGCAGCTTCCTCCGGTGTGTCAAATGTACCCAACCAAACCCTGGTCTTCTTCCACGGGTCACGTATCTCAGCGGCGTATCTTCCCCACGGCCTCTTCCGAACTCCTCTGTAGTGTCCTTCACGTGAAGACGCCATTGAGAAAAAAACACAGAAACAAAGGAAAGTGACTGGCTTTTGAGAGTGTGTTTATGTTGTGCCTGTTGAGTTCTGAGAGAACAACAAAAGCAAATAAGAGACTAAGAGAGATAGGGGGGAGCTGAAGAAGGAATGGTGTGTGTTGTTGTGTTTGTGTGTAAAAAGTGAGAGGGACCCACTAAGTCACCCGTAATCGTCGGTTGGACGACATGACCTAAACAAAAAGAACGCTCAACTCATTCTCAACCCTTTGATTCCATATAAGCAGAATAAACGGTGCCGATTTCTTGATGACATACAAACGAGAAGTTGAGCAACAAAAAAACAAGTGGGACCTACATTAAAATAAAATTATAAAGCAGAGAGCCGCCGCCTGATTAGACGTAAGAGCAGGAGGGGTGTGTGTGTCATGTGAGTATGTGACAACTCTACGCGCCGGTGATGACGTAAGCCCTATGCTTCTTGTACGGCGCTGCTCAGCGGCGCCTGCCTCTTTTTTAACAATTTATTATTAAAAAATTAGAAAAATTTAGAAATGGGGAGTAGATATATGATTAAGTGATCAGATAAAAGGGGGTGGCGTGTCGGATAGTGAATGGAGATAGCTGATGAAGTTTACAGAGACCCACGTGGAGGGTACATAGGAGGTGTCTGAGTTGCAGGAGACAGGACCAGGTTGGGTTTGAGACTTTGAGCTGAGTTAAAAAAATGGGCCGGGGGGGTGGGGGGGAAGGGGCGGATGGATTTGGGGTGTTTGACTCGGTTTGAGGTACGTGAAAAATAGGTCCATGTTTGGGGGGGTTAAAGGAAACTGTACGGTTGTTTGTTGTTATATGGGTGATGTATGTGAATGACCGAAGAGGACTCGCTGCAACTGACTGACACATGGTCACGTGAAGGTACTTTTTTTCATGATTTTGGATATATTTTTAATTGCTTACATCATGGCACGTGCGTTTGGGCATGTGGATTTTGTATCATTCTTTTGTGTAACTTATTTGGGCCTGCGGCTCATGGTTGTGCCCTGGAGCTCAGGTTTTTCTTTCCCGAATGCTAGCTGAAAACTAAAACCACTCCTACTGTAGAGTATTGCCTTTTTATGCTAAATTTTTGTATCCGATCGATTTATTATTTGATACCCACTTGCTTTTATTTATTATTTGGCTTTATTTTTGTGCTTTGCTCAGGAATCAGGAGTGTTTACATTTAGATTTTTGTTTTACACATTTTTCACATTCATGGCATGAGAGAGAGTGGAGTCTATCACGAAGATAAGAATAAAAATTCAGTATTGCCAGTCCACACCCAACCCATCTCACAACTCTCAGGTGATAGCTTGTAATTAGTCAATTCGCAAATGGACAAGCAAGACCCATAGTAAACAGACGGAATCTATTTGCAAGCTAACCAATTATAAATTATCATGTCGGAGTTATGAAAGAAGTTGTGAGATTGAATTATGAACTTAATACTACTCATAAAAATTATGAGATATTAAATGAGTGGCGTATTTTTGGCCAAAAATCTGCTTAGCTTGATCTCATTTCTGACTATCGATATCCATTTGTTAACCTAGCTGCTCCTGTTCTGTTTATCATTTATTTCAGCATAGACGGTGCAAAGATAATGAATATCTATGGGCTTTTATTTGGACCCTTGCACGACATCTTCAACCCATCATCATTGATAGTTGCCAATTAGCCCAATAATTCATGACATAATTTTGTAATGTTAGGTTCACTGCAACAACTGGGTCAAGCAGTATCAGTCATCACGTCTATGATTGCCGATTTAGTAAACTACTGGAGAACATTTTCACGCGCAAATGCTTTTATCAGTAAGAGTGGGCTGCCTAGGTCCACATCAATTCACAATGCAAGCAGTATAAGCTGAAAGGTATCATCATATAAGCTTAAGCAAAAACTCGAAAAAGATATATGCAAAAAAGTAGCTTCTTCCCTGATACAATTACATCTTTTATAATTATAGAGTTTGAGCCCAAGCGCAGACACAAGTACAAATAACACAACAAAAAAAAGCAGTAGGAGATCTATTTCAAAAATCTACCTTGTATCATCTTTAACAGACATTTTTTGAGCCAGGAACAAAAAGCCCTTTCAAAAACCTTAACTAAGAACAAAAAGTGAAACTAGGAAGTAGAAGTACTATATTCATGTTTCTTCAAAGTGGGGCAACGTTCATTCTGCACAATGAACAAAACAATTAAAGCAATGTACAAGATACCTCACTTTTCAGATTGGTGCCACCAAGGGGAGATCTGACCTCTTAAAGTTGCTTCTTTTGGTGTCACTATTGCTAACTGAACAGATTTTGACTGGAACATCAAGCAGTTCACAAGTTGAGATTCAGAGTCAAATCAAGTGGTTTTTAATACAGGTGTTGAGAAGCAGATCAAAATCAGGAATCAGGACAGGAGCAGACTTAAATAAAGACACTTCATGTCAGAATTGTCAATCTAAATTCATGATAGCAAACTAGGTCCATTCTCTGAAGCATGTCGAGCACCATGATGATAATGATGCCTTGCCAACTGAATATCATGGTAAACTGGGTCCTTGATTTGCATAAGGCACCTCTTGCTGCAGAAAAGACAAAGGTTGAAGGAGTTATAAATCTGCCTCAAAGAAAAACCAGACTTTTAAGGATGCATGTGCATTTGTGCACCTCTGTGCTAAAAGGTCTGAGACGATTTTCATGGTTGAGAACAGCTGGGTATAGGGTCTAATTAGAATTACTCTCTTTCATACACATTTGAGAAGCTTATTGGAATTAGAAGTTCTAAAACTATTATGTTCGTGTAACTGTTCATCATGAATGTCTTACCAGCAATTTGCTGTGCTCGTTGAATATTTTGCGCCTTTTCCACCAACACACTGAACAGACAACAAAAGCAAGACAATGATGAGAACACCGAATCGATGCCAATCTTTGCACCAGTGGAAGGTGGGGCCACATGTAGGTAAGCAGGTATACCACATAGACCTGCATTATCAGTAAGCTGCAAATATCCGAGTTAGTATTTCATTGACTTAATAACAAACACTTAATCCTCAATACGATCAGCAAGTTCATGTTTGCAAACCTATATTCACATATTAACATGCTAGATTAATAGTGAGAACATACTTGAAGCTAGTCTATGATGCAAAAGGCTTCCTCCTAATGCAGCTGGAACTCTTCCAGACAGAGAGGTTGCCATTGAGGTTCCTGCATCATGATCAACTTCAGTTAGAACATTACTGCATCATAAGATTTCATGTGTTAGCTTAACGATCTTACAATTACGTAATGATGTCAGCTTTCCGAGGCTTTCAGGAATTGATATTTAAGAAATTGTAGTGAGGTCCCTGAAATTTGGATAAAATCATTTGCTAATAGGTTAGATAAATAGTATAGAAAATGAAACCTAATCGATGGTGAGAGAAAGAGACTTCAGGACACACTTACAGCACTTCTAAGCTAGCAATTGTTCCGATGAGGATGGATAAGCTCCACGAATGCTGTTTCCACGCAAATTTCTACAAATACCCAACTTCACATATGTCAGCTTACTGTAGGATTGAAGAATAAGCAGAAATTTGGAGACCAGGCGAGGATGAATTAAAACCATTTTATTTCATAATGTCATCATTTCCTCTAGGTTCTGATCAAGTGAAACTATTTATAAACACACAGAAGCAACCAATAAAAAATTTTGCATTACAAGAGGAGCCATGGGCTACAAACTACATGCTTTGTAGATGACGCAAACGGGATATATCAATTGGCAAGAAACCCCTCAGACCTTGGTTGTCAAGACCATGATCAAGTAGAAGCAAAAAAATTAATTACCTAAATATACTTATAAGTGATGAAGACATGAGAAGAAAAGGCTTAATTACCCAAAATATACTTTTGAGTGATTGAAGACACCAACATTTGAAAGTTTCTAGCAATGGTAAATATCTTAGAATACAGAAATTGAATGACTCCAGAACAAGACAAAATGAAACCTAGTGCATAGACTAAACTACATGAAATATTAAACAAGAAAAAATCACCAAGTCATAACAACCCATTGGCATGGTAAAGATAACAAAAGATCTTGCCATATTGATAGAAAAGAGAATTCCATCTCATAATCCAAACACAAACAATCCAAAGAATTACAAAACAGAGATATTATCAAAACAAAAACTAAAGATAGAAAAGGGCTGCTGATCAAAGATATTGGGATAGCCATTGTGAATTAGGTGACTTAATTTTAGTTTTCAGGGAGATACAAAGGAAAAAGAAGTTCTATGCATATGAGCATAGGAAAATATGTGAGTATTTGACAGACACAATTGTTTGACTGTGCATTAGCTAACAAACAATACAATTTGGTGCAAGTGAGTTCCATCTGAGGTGTTAGTTTCCTATACAAATAGGAAGACTATGTAAGAAGTGAGAATGCCTGGCCTCTTTTCAATTAATGAAAGTTTGGTTCATTCACAAAAACAAAGGTCTGATTTCGTGTGGAGTTGAAAATTTGTTTCAGGGAACTAAAATTCCTTGTGATGTCACCAACAGAAAATTAAAAGGTCAATGAGTTTGTTGATTGTATTTACCGTCGGCTGGTAAAGATTTAGTGAATTATAAACTCATTAACAAAAATCATCTCACTCTCTCTATTTCAGGTTCATATGGATTTTTTCTCATGAGTAGAACTCTTCTTGAATAAAATTTGACAAAAATAGTATAACCACTTTGCAACAACATATTCTCTAGCTATAACCGTTTGGTTGGTTTCTGCTAAAATAAAAATATGAATAGCTACTGAAGAATTACCAGGGGGCTATTTTACATAGCCCTAAACTAATTTCATCATGTGCCTAAAACTAGGCCTTTCTTTACAACCATGGGAATGAAACTAGAATGGTTCTATTGGGCCCATAATAACAAAGAAACCCCAATACTTCAGAAACCTCATTTAAAACTAACAAAAAATGAGCTGACATAAATAGGGGGCAAAATTGAAGGAAAAATAATGAAAAGTAACAAAATTATGGAGACGGCACTTATGTTCTGGTTAAATTCCAACTTCAATATGGCAATGGCAAACTTGCCAAACTTTTTCAGAGAAAAAAGAATAGATTTTTGCATGCAATGATACAAGTCTAAACCTTTAAAACAACTGATATACAATAAGTACGAGGCAAAACTCGAAGGAAGCAAAAAAATAAACAGAAATAATGAGATAACCAGCAGAGGATCTCAAACAATTAAAAGTGAAAGGAAATATAACAAATATAAGACAAAGCTCAATAAAAAGC